AGTTGAAATTTATTGCTGCAGATATCACCCGCCTCCACTCATCTGTCTGGCTGCCCTTCACTTTCAAGTTGGTGACACCAAGTGTTTGCAGGTCTGTCTGGACATTATTTCTCCATCGTCTGCCTCATGGTCTACAACCATTCAGCTTCCTTATGTGTACAGGTTTTGTCTCTCTGTCGTCTGACACTCTCTCACTATGCTTGACCCATTTCAGTCTATTAGCTCTCATGATACCAGTGATCAATGGTGATTTAAACGGACTATGAATTTTGTTGTTGCTTCTCACTCTCCATTTCTTGCTGTCTGCATCTTTGATAGGTGCAACAATTGACTGGAAGGCTCTGTTTTTTGAAAATTTGTAATAAGACTTCAGCTATTTTAGTTGTGCTCCAAGTTTCAGAGCCTTACAAAATGATTGGTCTTTTCAACGTTTTATATATTTTGATGTTGTGGGACAGACACTTTGACTTTAGCAGATGTTAAATCTTTATTTATAGATTGTATTCTAGATTTTATTTCTTCACTCAGCATGTTGCAACAGTTGAAGTTTGCACCTATGTACTTATATGTTTCCATTCACTTGATTTTCATAGTATCGACTTATATGTGGCCGGAGTTTATATCTTTTCCCTGTCTTGTCATTATCATGTGTTCCGTCTTGTCTTGATTGATAACTAGTCCCATTTTTTTCTAGGTTCTCTAAATATTCACAACAAATATACAAGAATTATTAGATTTTATGACATAATATATACAAATCAGAACAGCCCATGGGATGGGTAATCAGTTGATCTGAAACAGTGCAGTGATAATTAAATATTTCCACACAATATCTGATCGTCACTTCTCACACAATATCTGATCATCACTTCTCACACAATATCTGATCGTCACTTCTCACACAATATCTGATCGTCACTTCTCACACAATATCTGATCATCACTTCTCAAAAAATATCAATTCCCATAGACCATCTGATTATCAACATTGTGTCACTGAAATTTAGTCTGGAAAAAAACCCAAAGACTTTGATTACTGGAAATTTCTGAAGGATGTATCACTGAAAAACATCTAAATTCTGAATGAAATATTTCTTGTGCAAATCTGATAGAAGTCAGTTGCAGGAAAGTGTAATGGACGGCTTGCACCAACAGTGAGCTGTGATTCTCATGTAGGACAGTCAGTTTTTGGCATATCTGACAGCAGGTGCAAGTTTCCAAATGTTGCTGAGCGTGTCAGTCATGCTTTTCACCAGTTTTCAAATGGAACAGTGAAGGACATTTTGTTTGATTTGCACGGGCACAGAAATAGAACCCTTAAGAGGCAAATTGTTGGCAGTGGTGAGGGAACTTCAACTAGCAACTAATGATTATAATCTCCCCTTTGGATGACGACTGGGCCTGTTCTGACTGGTCATTTATGGGTGGCATGAGGTCTCGTTTCTGAACCGTTAATTCCCTGCACATTGTCTCATAGTTCATAAAAGCTCACATTTTCATCAACAGCTGACTGAAATTTGATAGTTTAAATACTTTTCAATATAGACTTCAACTAGCAGGTTTGCACAATGTAATTACAGTTGACTAAAGCAGTCAGTGTTTGCCAGACTTTCTATCACTACAATCCAGCTGTTACAGCTGAAGTTATCAGTTGGTGCATCCAGTAATTCTCCATCAGTACCCTCCAGCTGTTATAGCTGAAGTTATCCTCCAACTTTCATAGCTCAACTTATCCTCCAGCTGTTATACCTCAACTTATCCTCCATCTGTTATAGCTGAAATTATTCTCCAGCTGTTATAGTTTCAGTCATCAGCTGGTACATCCAGTGATTTCTCATCAGTACCCTCCAGCTGTTATAGCTCAACTTATCCTCCAGCTGTTATAGCTGAAGTTATCCTCCAGCTGTTATAGCTGAACTTATCCTCCAGCTGTTATAGCTGAAGTTATCCTTCAGCTGTTATAGCTGAAGTTATCCTCCAGCTGTTATAGCTGAAGTTATCCTCCAGCTGTTATAGCTGAAGTTATCCTCCAGCTGTTATAGCTGAATTTATCATCCAGCTGTTATAGCTAAAGTTATCCTCCAGCTGTTATAGCTGAAGTTATCAGCTGGTGCATCCAGTGATTCTGCCTTATATTCAATCAATTTACCTCATGCCGTTCTCCAGCTACTCTGAAATCACATTCTTTAGATATATTCTCAACATTCCTGCTTGCCTGGATACAACATATTCACCTTCCACTGCTCCTCCCAGAGTGTTGTGATATTTTCCTGTGACATATGTCTACGTGTGTGACTGGTTTCATTAATCACATAACAGTTTCACTGATCAAATTACAACAAGTGAAATACCTGAAGCTTAACTGAATAATGAATATGCGTGTCAGTAAACAGATGTGTCATCATTAAACCATACATACATCTGATGTCTGTACAAACAAAATATATTTCTTTTATTTAACCATCACTAGTTTCCCATTTCCTAAATCTAATAATCAGCAATTATAAATTATTTTCAATAATCATTAGAAAATATGCAGTCATTTCATCTGATCAACATACATTTTACATAAAACATGACAAATTATAGAAATGTGATATCTCTCTCTCTATATATTGATTACCTAAGAGACACTCTGATATACATGTATAGGCCCCTCTCCCAGCTGCAGCCTCTCTACAGAAAAAACATACATTGATCACGACTTTTGTGCGTTATGAGTCATGAACTGATATTATAGCACTGAGAACATTCCTATAAGTGCTCCGTCCCCACCTTCAACAGCAGACGCAGAGTTCCCATTAACCTTTGGCTGATGCATCTTTGTGCAGCCTCTCTAATGAAGACATACATTGACCAAGACCTGTGTTCATCTGGCTATAGTGTAGCCTCTCAGAGAGAACTCAAGTGACCAAATCATTTGTGCAAGTCTCCAGGGCTTAAGCTCCTTACAGACAAGAGTTTAGTTTCTGCACTCGAGGAGGAGAATGTCACTTCTCCACTTCAGGAGGGGAAGTAAACACAGACGCCATATTCAGGACTCAGGCCACAACCACAATTGCAACCAATCATCGAATGTCTGTTACATTTTCAGGACTCAGGCCACAACCAGAATTGCAACCAATCATTGAATGTCTGTTACCTACAGACAGCTGTTTGTGGACTACTTCTATTCATGCTATTTTTCTGTAATCGCTCTTTTTTTTCCTCCCAAAGGTTTCCCTCAGTATGTTTGCTATTCTCTTCTCTCAAAGGTTTCCCTCAGTATGTTCGCTATTCTCTTCTCTCAAAGGTTTCCCTCAGTATGTTCACCATTTTCTTCTCCCAAAGGTTTCCCTCTGTTTATTGTTTATCCTTCTTTTTCTCTTTCCAGGTAAACCCAGCCTTGAGTGGGTGCCAGGTGAACCCAGCCTTGAGTGGGTGCCTGGTGAACCCAGCCTTGAGTGGGTGTTGGGTGCAGTCCTGGGAAGTTAAGGGGGCTGACATGATGCTGACCACATCACCCATCTTGTGCTGTTGGTCTACAAAATATAGGTCTAGCCCTATTTGCCCTATTCGCCTAAAGGCATCGAGAAGGGCTCTTTACTGTTTTTTTGTTTTACTTTTTTTTCTCTCACATTCCTTTGAGAAATGTGAGAAATGTTCGCCTCCCACATTTCCCCAAAACATGCCCGAATGTCTCACATGATTTTGCTTCCATATATCATTGACACATGGTGTCTCAAATGTTGACACATATCCTTCCACCTCATCCTAGTACCCACACATACCCTTGAATCCCACATGCCTCCATTGCTCTCTCCACCCTTACATCCCACATGCCTCCATTGCCCTCTCCACCCTTACATCCCACATGCCTCCATTGCCCTCTCCACCCTTACATCCCACATGCCTCTATTGCCCTCTCCACCCTTACATCCCACATGCACTCAAGTATCTGAAAAGTGCCATGATGATTTTTGTTTGAATTATAATTTTTTTTTTTTTAACTAGTAAACCAAATTGTCTCTGAGATATATCTGTGAACAGCATGAATATGTTTCAGTGATAAACATCAAATTAACCTCAGACGGCAGTAACAATTGTTAATTGTTAAAACAATATGGATACATTTTGGGAGCAGACAATATAATGAAGGAATGATGGGATACCTGGCTCTCTAGTGAACTGTGAGCGATGAGATTAGTCAACATATTTATTTGGCAAATCATTATTTTCTGTAAACCTGATCTATCGCCATCATAGAGAATTGTAACAAAAATGCAAAAATGTATAACATATTGCAATTTATTTCATGTTTCTGTTAAGCATGAATAACAATAGAGAAAAACTGCTGATTTTTTTGTTTACAACAGAACAAAAGTAGAGTTCATGTTCAAAAGATGGGTGACCATATTTGCATAATCTCAATGTGCCCAGTTTTCATGTATTCATGCAAATGTCTGAATTATGATACTGAAAAATTAACGTTTATTTCCTTAGAACATAAGTTCAAGTTTGTGATCAGTAAGTGACTACGTATCAAACATCAACCAGGAGTCGGTTCACACCCTTAGAAGCTATGACCACTTCCTGTTGTCTTTGATGTCCCGGACAGCTCATTGATACATTTGTTTTGGAGTTAGACCAGAAAACCTAACAGCTAATGTGTAGTCATTGTTGTGTATATTCATAACTGCTTATTTTACAATTACAATTTTCAACACAGAAGTTCCTTTTGCTTCTGAATGGTCCACAGGCCAAGTCGATGTTTTCTGAAAGTATTATACAGACCACATCATCAATCCAACTACCACATTTATCTCAATAGCTATACAAACAACAACAAACATCATGGCTACGACTCCAGCAGACTTAAATTTTCTCCCATATTGGAAGGCACTTTCAGAAAGAAATGTTCTCAGCTATGAAAAGCTTTCAACTGTAGTTTGCTGTTGCTGTACAGTTTTCTTTCACTTTGGAATCAACACAGAGAAACAAAACTCCTGTCATGCAGGCTCTCATGCATAAACTTCCTTTCCATATGAATTCTGGTTGTAGCCAGTTAGTGGCATAAACTGGAGTCCGTTGTCTGTGATCTCCTCCTCTCTCTTCTTGTTTTTCTTCTTGGAGCCCAGGCAACGGACAACGAAACGAATCTCCTCGGACATCTCTGAACACAAGGTTTGCTGTTGAGAAGAGAAGGAGACCAGGTCACAGAGGTACAAGCAAACAACAGATAGAGTGGCAAATAATAACATGAATGGTAAATGTCAGATCACATTTTAAATGGCTCTTCTTCTTCTTCTTCTTCTTCTGCCTTTCCCCCCAATGGAGCATAGGCCCTCAACCAACTCACGCCAAGTCGTTCTATCCTTCGCCATTGCATGGAGCTCTCCCCATGTCCTCCCAATCTTTCTAACTTCATTCTCCAGCTCTCTTCTCCATGTGTTTTTGGCCTTCCTTTATTCCTATGCCCCTGTGGTTCCACTGCAAAGACATTCTAGTTATGCTGTTCTCCTGTTTTTGTAGTTTGTGTCCTATCCAACGCCAGCGTCTTTTCCTCACCTCTTGGTCCACCGGAGCCTGTTTAATTCTCTCCCAAAGCTCTACATTAGTTATTTTATCATACCATTTAATTCCTTCTATTCTGCGCAGGCACCAGTTAATGAATGTTTGTCGTTTATTAGTAATTGCCTTGGTTGTTCATGTTTCCGCCCATACAAAAGTACTGAATTGACATTAGAATTACAAATTTTTAGTTTAGTATTTCTTTTAATTTGTTTTGACCTCCACAAATTCCCTAGTGCTATGAAAGCCCCTCTTGCCTTTTTTGTTTCTTATTTTAATATCTCTATCAGTTAATCCATTTTTATGTACATTATTGCACAAATAGATGTACGACTCCACGTCTTGGAGTGGGGTGCCATCAAGGGAAACCACATTACTATTTGCCTGATTTATTCTCATTATCTTTGTCTTTCCTTTATGGGTTTTCAGACCAAGCTGCTGTGATCTCGCATCTAGTATATTTAATTTATCTTGCATCTGATTCCATGAATGGGACAGAAGAAAAATATCATCAGCGAAGTCCAGATCATCAAGCTGTTTTGTAGGGGTCCACTGAATTCCATTCTTGGTGTTAGCAGTTACTGTTGTCATAATTCAATCTATAGCCAGTAAAAATAAGAGGCGACAAAAGACATTCCTGTCGCACACCTGTTTTTATTTCAAATGTAGCTGTTTTAAATGGCAAGTCTTGGTAAATGAGGGAGTCACCATGGCAAAGCAGTCAGATGCTCTAGACGGATCTGAAGGTCCTAGATTCGCTCCCTGATAGAGCCAGACTTTTTTTCAAAAACAACTTTGGCACCCAGGTCGACCCAACCTTGAGTGGGTACCGGGTGCAGTCCCGGGAAATAAAGGCGGCCAGCATGATGCTGACCACATCACCAATCTCATGCCGATTGGTTTATAAAATATAGGTCTAGCCCTATATGCCCTATAGGCCCTTTGACTCAATGGCCTGGAAAAGGCTGCTTTACTTACTTGGTAAATGACACAATGACACTTTTAACTTGAAACTGAAATAACTAATGACAAAAAAACTCGTTGAGTCCCAAGGAACACATCACACTCTAATTGGTTCCTATGCACCCCGACCAACCGTACAGGTATTTAATTTACCACTGGCCAATATAGAGACACAAACTGCCAGTTCTGAATGGTCTTTACTGGGTTTTTTTGTTTGTTCAATAGCACAGGTGTTGACCATTAGGTTTATTCGGAAACATGGTTAAAAGCATAAAATGTAGCAGGTTTGTGAGCTTTACCGAGTAACTGTATGTTGAAAACAAAATGGCCTTCTGGCAAACTTCTTTATGGATTCCACAATGAAATGTATGGCTTCAGAAGCAACAAATTTAAATGAAACATACATTTATCAGATTTACCCAAAGCTAGACAAAGAAAGTTGCAAAGCAGACTTTTTACAGTCATTGATAGAGTCAAACTTTCATGAAGGATAGCTAAAAAATGTGCCTTGTTCAAATGTACAGTGATAACAAAGCCAGTTGGCATAACCAACAACAACAAAAATATTAGTGACAAATCTAATTGTCTGTAGTGTCAGTTAGATCTAGTGTGATTCCCTTATTACTTGGAAACATAGGCTATAAAATCATGGGCAAACTGAGTGTTAAATACTAATCGTTTTTAGAAGTCATTTTTCTTTACCTAAAAATGGTGCTCCGTTTTGGTGTTCCAAAGTTTCTCTTAAACTAAATCTAATGTATAGATTATATTTATATTTTATTTATATGTTACTAAGTGGTTCATGTTAATTTGTGATTCATTTCAGATATATTTTATATTTTTTCTTGAGTGTAATGACTGTAAGCTGACAAATTAATATTTTATTTTACTAATTTATCTAAACAGGTCTTGTGTTTACTTATTAATATTTAACTACTAACATAATTATTTTATTCCTCAACAATCCCTGGTCACACTGATGAATAATATGTGTATGTTGCATGGCAGGTGAATTAGTGTGATCTGTTTGAATGTGTAACACTTGTGACATTTCAAAATTACATTACCAGCCCTTGGTCCTCTGATGCTAAACCCCCGGAAACTCAAAGAGTTCCCATGTCTTTGTCTCAAAGAAAATGATGAACTATAGTTGCCTGCACTGTAATGATGGTGAGTGTGTCATAGCTAGGTGGTGTGTGATAGCTAGGTGGTGTGTGATAGCTAGGTGGTGTGTCATAGCTAGGTGCTGTGTCATAGCTAGGTGGTGTGTCATAGCTAGGTGGTGTGTCATAGCTAGGTGGTGTGTCATAGCTAGGTGGTGTGTCATAGCTAGGTGCTGTGTCATAGCTAGGTGCTGTGTCATAGCTAGGTGGTCTGTCATAGCTAGGTGGTGTGTCATAGCTAGGTGGTGTGTCATAGCTAGGTGGTGTGTCATAGCTAGGTGGTGTGTCATAGCTAGGTGGTGTGTCATAGCTAGGTGGTGTGTCATAGCTAGGTGGTCTGTCATAGCTAGGTGGTCTGTCATAGCTAGGTGGTGTTTCATAGCTAGGTGGTGTTTCATAGCTAAATGGTCTGTCATAGCTAGGTGGTGTGTCATAGCTAGGTGGTGTGTCATAGCTAGGTGGTGTGTCATAGCTAGGTGGTGTGTCATAGCTAGGTGGTCTGTCATAGCTAGGTGGTCTGTCATAGCTAAGTGGTCTGTCATAGCTAGGTCGTCTGTCATAGCTAGGTGGTCTGTCATAGCTAGGTGGTGTGTCATATAGCTAGGTGGTGTGTCATATAGCTAGGTGGTGTATCATAGCTAGTTGGTGTGTCTTAGCTAGGTGGTGTGTCTTAGCTAGGTGGTGTGTCATAGCTAGGTGGTGTGTCATAGCTAGGTGGTGTGTCATAGCTAGGTGGTGTGTCATAGCTAGGTGGTGTGTCATAGCTAGGTGGTGTGTCATAGCTAGGTGGTCTGTCATAGCTAGGTGGTGTGTCATAGCTAGGTGGTGTTTCATAGCTAAATTGTGTGTCATAGCTAGGTGGTCTGTCATAGCTAGGTGGTCTGTCATAGCTAGGTGGTCTGTCATAGCTAGGTGATGTGTCATAGCTAGGTGGTGTGTCATAGCTAGGTGATGTGTCATAGCTAGGTGGTCTGTCATAGCTAGGTCGTGTGTCATAGCTAGGTGGTGTGTCATAGCTAGGTGGTGTGTCATAGCTAGGTGGTCTGTCATAGGTAGGTGGTGTGTCATATAGCTAGGTGGTGTGTCATAGCTAGGTGGTCTGTCATAGGTAGGTGGTGTGTCATATAGCTAGGTGGTGTGTCATAGCTAGGTGGTGTGTCATAGCTAGGTGGTGTGTCTTAGCTAGGTGGTGTGTCATAGCTAGGTGGTGTGTTATAGCTAGGTGGTCTGTCATAGCTAGGTGGTCTGTCATAGCTATGTGGTGTGTCATAGCTAGGTAGTGTGTCATAGCTAGGTGGTCTGTCATGGCTAGGTTGTGTGTCATAGCAAGGTGGTGTGTCATAGCTAGGTGGTCTGTCATAGCTAGGTGGCCTGTCATAGCTAGGTGGTGTGACATAGCTATGTAATGTGTCATAGCTAGGTGGTCTGTCATAGCTAAGTGGTGTGTCATAGCTAGGTGGAGTGTCATTGCTAGGTAGTGTGTCATAGCTAGGTGGTGTGTCATAGCTAGGTGGTGTGCCATAGCTAGGTGGCCTGTCATAGCTAGGTTGTCTGTCATAGCTATGTGGTGTGTCATAGCTAGGTGGTGTGTCATAGCTAGGTGGTCTGTCATAGCTAGTTGGTCTGCCTTAGCTAGGTGGTGTGTCATATCGGGGTTGTCTGTCATAGCTAGGTGGTGTGTCATAGCTAGGTTGTGTGTCATAGCTAGGTAGTGTGTCATAGCTAGGTGGTGTGTCATAGCTAGGTGGTCTGTCATAGCTAGGTGGTGTGCCACAGCTAGGTGGTCTGTCATAGCTAGGTAGTGTGTCATAGCTAGGTGGTGTGTCATAGCTATGTGGTCTGTCATAGCTAGGTGGTGTGCCACAGCTAGGTGGTGTGTCATAGCTAAGTGGTGTGCCACAGCTAGGTGGTGTGTCATAGCTAGGTTGTCTGTCATAGCTTGGTGGTGTGTCATAGCTAGGTTGTGTGTAATAGCTAGGTGGTCTGTCATAGCTAGGTGGTGTGTCATAGCTAAGTGTTTTGTCATAGCCAGTTGTTATACACAAAAACCAGTTCATGTTACTTATTATGAGAAAGGCCTACAATTTTAAAAGAATATTTATTTTAAACATCATGCTGGCATGAAAACTGCATGAACAAACAGACTTTGTTTTCAAAGGATCACAAACTAGGCATGCTGATAAACAAGAAGAACAATACCTAGCAATCAAGAGAGCCCCATAACATGGATGTGTACAGTTACAATACTTTTCAACCTCTACGGGAGCTAGTCTGGTATAGTTGCTAGCGCTTTGCATGCAGATCCTAAGTTTGTGGGTTCAGATTTGAACAGGCCTAAAATATATTTGTTCAAAGACCTAGGCTGCCAGGTCAGCCTAACCTTCAATGGATACCAGGAAAAGTGCTGCGAAGTAAAGATGGTTGACATTATGTTCACCAGACCACTCACCAAGTGCTGACTAATGTATCAAATATATGTCTAGCCCTATATGCCCAATACACCTGAAGACAAGGAAAAGGTTCCTTTACTTGATTTCTGACTCTACAAACTGAAATCTGTGCACTTTAGAAACACAACCTACATCAGAGAAAATACAATCAACAATCTAAGATATACAACTGATACAGTCTTAGCTGCAATACAGAGGATCTGTAGAATGAAGGGGATGCAGTTGTTTTACATTGTGAGCAAAGTTATAATTAAACTCTAGGAAACAGACATTATCCTCCTCAGCTTCAAATCTAATGAAGAAATACAATGTACATAGCTGGAAACTATTACTCTTCCCAAAGCAGACTGATAGTGTTACACTCTCCTTCATGGAGACAAGGGAGTCCCAGCTCTTAGCTTTTCCTAAATATGACTAACAATAACTGCCCAGTGTTTTAGTGTCACCATCGCCAGTTGAGGCATCTGATGTATTTCCTCTCTAACGCTCAGTCATTTAGATGTATCTTAACCATAATGCACCATAATGAAGACTACGACATATGACAATGTGTTGTTACCTACCTTATCCTTTTTGGCATTTTTTCTGGCCTTCCACATAAACTCACAGAGGGAGACAAAGAACCCGATGATCACACCCCCCATGAGCACCACAAATACTCCGCCCACATTCTCCACCCCAAGTTCTGCTGCCTTCCCTGCTGGTGAGCCTTCCTCCTCTACACACTTGCCCCCACCAAGCTCCTTCTTCCACCATTTGTTGTAGAGCTCTTCTATCACCTGCTCCTCCTGCAGCCTCAAGATCTCTTCTGTGAGAGCTTCCCGAAGAGACTCATGGGTGGGCCCCAGCACTAGCAGAGATAAACAGTTCATCATATTCAAACATACAATGTCATCAGAAATATTGGCAAATTTGGCTTGTTCAGGTAAACAGTGTTTAAAATAAATCATGTGCTAATAAAATTTCTATGAGCATAAACTATCATCAGCTGACCTAGATTATTACTAAAAGATTAGGTAAAGATCTACCTACAAGCTAAACTTTTTTTGAAGAGATTTAGCTATGAGCTAAGAGTGTTGAGAGACTTTACAAACACCATGTATAACTATAAGTAAACACCATGTATAAACGCTGGCCTGGGAAATAAAACAGAGTCGACAGACAATTATTATGGAAAATAATGTCAAGATAATGAGTAAGCGAACACCTCATCGAAGTGTGCAAAAGTTTATACAGGGATTGTAGAAGTGTAGTTAGAATAAATCAGAGAACATCTCATCCTTTCACAGTGACATCTCGAGTAAGACAGGGGTGTGTCTTATCACCATTGCTGTTTATCACCTACATCGACAGTATATGCAAGAATGCCAAGCCCATGAATGAAGATCTTAGTAAGATCAACGAGTTACTCTTTGCAGATGACCAGGCCTTGATAGCAGATACAGCCATGAAATTGCAACAACATCTAACATCCATGAATGAAGAATGTAAAACAAATAATATGAGAATCAACACTGAAAAGACAGAAGTAATGTCAATAGGAAAAAAGAAGACAGATCTAAACATAGCAATAGAATACAAAGGCATTAAACAGGCATCTGAGTTTAAATATCTGGGAACTACATTTACCGAAGATGGGAAATTGGATAAAGAAATTGACATTAGATGCAGTAAAGCAAACCAAGTATTGGGACAGCTAGCCCCCCTCTTACAGCATAAGACAATCTCAATCAGCACAAAGAGAGACCTTATTCAAAGCATATTTATTCCAACTCTGTGCTACCAGTGCCAGACATGGTCACTCACAACAAACCATAAAAGAAAATTAGTAACCACGGAAAAGAGATGTCTGAGAAGGGCTGTAGGAGTAAGCATAAGAGAAAAGATCAGGAATGAGATCATAAGAGAACAAGTCGGCAAAGAAATAATTCTGGATTACATACAAAGACAGCAAGTGAAATGGTTTGCCCACTAAGAGAGAATGCCTTGTGACACCATACCATACAAAGCATACATGGAAAGAGAAGAAGGACGTAGAGCACGGGGTAGACCAAGAACAAGATGGAAGGATAACATCAGAGAAACTCTACAACAGCACGATGTGCCTATGGTCGAGGCAGCCAGAAGAGCTAGAAACAGAACCTTATATCTCCCTCGACACCCACAGCGGTAAAAGAGGAAGTGAAGAAGAAGAAGAAACACCATGTATAACTATAAGTAAACACCATGTATAACTAGAGGGAAACACCATGTATAACTATAAGTCAACACCATGTATAACTAACTATAAGTAAACACCATGGATAACTATAGGTAAACACCATGTATAACTATAAGTAAACACCATGAGACTCACTAAACATGATCTAATTACAAGCTAAATATCCTAAGAAAAGATCTAATTACAAGGTAAATATCTTGAGACAAGATCTAATTACAAGGTAAATATCCTGAGACATGATCTAGCTAAAAGGTAAATATCCTAAGAAAAGATCTAATTACAAGGTAAATATCTTGAGACAAGATCTAATTACAAGGTAAATATCCTGAGACATGATCTAGCTAAAAGGTAAATATCTTGAAAAATGATCTAATTACAAGGCAAATATCCTGAGACACGATCTATGTACAAGCTAAATATCCTGAGACATGATCTAATTACAAGCTAAATATCCTGAGACATGATCTAATTACAAGCTAAATATCCTGAGACAAGATCTAATTACAAGGTCTAAATATCTTGAGACACGATCTATGTACAAGCTAAATATCCTGAGACATGATCTAATTACAAGGCAAATATCCTGAGACATGATCTAATTACAATGTAAATATCCTGAGACACGATCTATGTACAAGCTAAATATCCTGAGACATGATCTAATTACAAGCTAAATATTCTGAGATATGATCTAATTACAAGCTAAATATCCTGAGACAAGATCTAATTACAAGGTAAATATCTTGAGATATGATCTAATTACAAGCTAAATATCCTGAGACATGATCTAATTACAAGCTAAATATCCTGAGACATGATCTAATTACAAGCTAAATATTCTGAGACATGATCTAATTACAAGCTAAATATTCTGAGATATGATCTAATTACAAGCTAAATATCCTGAGACAAGATCTAATTACAAGGTAAATATCCTGAGGCATGATCTAATTACAAGCTAAATATCCTGAGACATGATCTAATTACAAGGTAAATATCCTGAGACACGATCTATGTACAAGCTAAATATCCTGATACATGATCTAATTACAAGCTAAATATCCTGAGACATGATCCAATTACAAGGTAAATATCCTGAGACATGATTTAATTACAAGCAAAATATCTTGAGACATGATCTAATTACAAGCTAAATATCCTGAGACAAGAGCTAGCTACAAGCCAAATATCCTGAGACAAGAGCTAGCTACAAGCTAAATATCCTGAGACAAGATCTAATTACAAGGTAAATCTCCTGAGACAAGATCTAATTACAAGGTAAATCTCCTGAGACAAAATCTAGCTACAAGGTAAATATCCTGAGATATGATCTAATTACAAGCTAAATCTGACAAGAACAGATTTAGTAACTAATTTAAAAGATCAGCTTATGAGCTAAACGTTCATGACAAAAGATCTAACTTCAAGCTAAAAGTTCATGACAAAAGATCTAACTTCAAGCTAAAAGTTTATGACAAAAGATCTAACTTCAAGCTAAACTTTTATGACAAATGATCTAACTTCAAGCTAAACTCCATGTGCACTTAAGTGTGGAATCAATGGGCATAGAAAACAAGGAACACTCCACTCTGTGAGCTTTACCTGGAGGAGTTGCAAAGCCATATCCCTTGGAATCAAGCAGACCTCCCACCTTCATCAGATCACAGTTCCTGTTGATGAAATTTCAGTTTTCATATCAAATTTGTATTGTTATCACTGTCACATCCGCTGCTTTTTACAGTGAATTATATTGTTATCACTGTCACATTAGCTTTTTTTTTACAGTGAATTATATTGTTATCACTGTCACATCAGCTGCTTTTCACAGTGAATTATATTGTTATCACTGTCACATCAGCTGCTTTTTACAGTGAATTATATTGTTATCACAGTAATATTTTTTGCATTTTGACAAGACATGTTGATAAACATGTTTAACCATGATTCATGCTGACATCACAGGCTGTCACTAGAATCTGAGACCATGGTCTGTGTTCTTGTTCCCCTTTTGCTATGTGTTTAAGCCATCTAGGCTTTTGTTCATTATTTCAACATCAGTTTGTTAAAACCGAATATTTAATTATTGTTAGTAATTTGTTTATCTTGTCAATAACAATTTTATTAACTCTTTCAGGACAGCATTTTCCCTCGGATGTGGAGAAAAATGAATTATGAAAAGAACATTTTTTACGGCAACTTGAAAAGGTTAAAACCTTCCTTGAGAAAAATTTAATTGTAGTGACATATAAGGACCCTTGTCAACGTCTCCGGGCGTACGGAGTCTATAAGGCTAGACTTTTTTATTTTATAGTCAAATCATCACTTGGCCTGTGATATGGTCAACATCAGGCCAGCCACCTTGACTTCCCAGGACTGCTTTGGTACCCACCCAAGGTTGCGTCCACCTGGGAGCCAAGGTCATTTTTAAAGAAAATACTGTTCTGTCAGGACCTGAACCCAAGACCTTCTGATCCACAGGCAAGCATCTAGCCACTACACCATGGTGGCTAGCCACTACACCACGGTGGCTAGCCACTACACCACGGTGGCTAGCCACTACACCACGGTGGCTAGCCACTACACCATGGTGACTCTCCGGGAAATGTAATTGATCACATTAAAGAGAAATGAATATAAAATGCATCTGACACATGTCAGGTTAAATATTGCAACAATAAAATAGTCAAATGATACCACATTCAAGGCTTTTTGACGTACAAGAAGATTTTTGACAGACAGAGAAACTTGTCTGACTTTTTTTTTTTTTTTTACTTCATCAGCAACACTGCTATTCCTTTTGAAGGGTATTTGTGCCTTCTCTATTCAATTATGACTCAATTATAACTTGTAACTATTTGAGACAGTTAATCTAAATACTTTGGATTTATGATAATTTTTATGGGATATTTAAAATTTCAGAAAAACCAGACACAGCTGATCAAAAGAGAAGATGTGTCATGTTTCTTGACAGAAATTTATCCAAGATGAGTAGTGATCCTTGACAGGAATTTCTTCAAGATGAGTTGTATTTGTTAACAAAAATTTCTCCAAGATGAGTTGTATTTGTTAACAAACATTTCTCCAAGATGAGTTGTATTTGTTAACAAGAATTTCTCCAAGATGAGTTGTATTTGTTAACAAGAATTTTCTAAGATGAGGTATGTTTCATGACAAAAATTTATCCAGGATGAGTTATGTTCCTTGATAAGAATTTATCCAAGATGGGAAATATTTGTTGACAGGAATTTATCAAGAAGAGTTATATTTCTTGACATCAGTGAGTTAACACTATTTCTCAGGAATGAGATGTATTTTGAAGAGAAGAGTTGTATGTTACAACAAACATTAAGCCACGATTGTTTTTTTTTCTTTTCAAGATTGTATTTGTTAAAGAATTCAATGAGTTGTAGAGTTAACAAGTTTTCAATGTGTTTCATGACACATAGTTATGTTCCTTGTAAGAATATAAGATGGGAAATGTGTGTGTGTGACCAGATTGTGATACACTACATGACTGTTTGAATAGAAGTTAGGACAAGCATACTGTTTTTGTTTTTTCTTCAAACTTGTGGGCAATGTTACAGTGAATGTACACATGTGTGTAATAAGCAGGTGTGTGTGTGAGTCTGTGATACAACCCTGTGTGTATGTATGCATGAGAACTGTGTGTGTATGTGAGTGTGTATGAGTGGGTGTGAGTGAGTCTTTGTGTGTATGTATGTGAGAGTGTGTGAGCGGGTTAGTGAGTCTTTGTGTGTATGTATGTGAGAGTGTGTGAGTGTGTGTAAGCGTGTGTGAGTGAGTCTTTGTGTGTATGTATGTGAGAGTGTCTGTTTGAGTGTGTGTGAGTGGGTGTGAGTGAGTCTTTGTGTGTATGTATGTGAGAGTCTGTATGTGTATGTGAGTGTGTGTGAGTGGGTGTAAGTGAGTCTTTGTGTGTATGTATGTGAGAGTCTGTATGTGTATGTGAGTGTGTGTGAGTCTTTGTGTGTATGTACGTGAGAGTCTGTATGTGTATGTGAGTGAGCTTCTGTATCTTGTGTTTTGTTTAACACGAAGTGTGCATATGATAACAGTTTTAGTTTTGTGTAAATTGATTATACATGTGTGTGCTTATGTGGCATGTTGTGAGTGTAATATGATACACGTATCATACACAGTAAACAAAATACACATGATACATACACAACGCATACAACAACACTGACCTGTGTATAACATATTCTACGGTTGTTGACTCTGTGATGTACGCGTACTGGCCAGTTTTCACCCGCTCAACCGCCTGCGTCAAATTCTTGACAAAACTCAATTCTGGTGTAGCATTCATGAACTTCCACATTTTTTCATATGTGGCTATACGATTATTCTGTGATTTAAAAAAAAAAACAAGTTAGCTGCACTTTCTTTGCATGATGCTACAGAACCAACCCTAGAATTTCACTGACTGTTTGTGATTTCACTCTGCAATTGTTACACTGAGTAGTTTGCCATTGCTTTTCTAAACTGTCAGCTCCTAATACTTTTGTCAAAACCAAAGCAAGGGGGTCTGCTTTCAAAATGCCCACATCTTGGATTGAATCCGGCACCTCATTTTTACAAAGTAATATTGTTTAAGGCAGGGGTTCCAATACTGATTCTGGGGTGGTTCACCAAGATATTCATCAAGATATTCATCAAGATATTCATCAAGATATTCATCAAGATATTCATCAAGATATTCATCAAGATATTCATCAAGATTTTCATCAAGATATTCATCAAGATATTCATCAAGATATTCATCAAGATATTCATCAAGATATTCATCAAGATATTCATCAAGATATTCATCAAGATATTCATCAAGATATTCATCAAGATATTCATCAAGATATTCATCAAGATATTCATCAAGATATTCAACAAGATATTCATCAAGATATTCATCAAGATCAACTTTGCTGGCAAAAGTGTGCTCAATACTGAATCACGTTTAGTCTGTTTCCTAAACCACCAAGATGTCAGACATGGCCAAACAATCTCAGTTTCTCAGACATCTGTTTATCAACTGGTTTCATTCTATGAATAGATATTGTAGAATGCCATTATTGCTCTTTGTGATTCAAAATATTGTGAAAAATTGTGTGAATTGCTTTCATTAAAAAAAAAAAACCTATTGTTTTCTTATATATATATATATATATATATATATATATATATATATATATATATATATATATATATATATATATATATATAGGCCTTATATTTACATAATGTCTATTAGAAATCCTTATGTATGATTACTGGGTAGGAGTGTGTTATCAAGGCCTTCAGTTTTACATAATTATCTGTTAGAAATAATTCAAACGGACTGAATCTGGAAACATTATAAAATAGTGAACTGACCTTAAAGAATTCCATGGTAGCCCCTCCTTCAAATGTTCCGTATTTGATCCTGGACTGTTTGGCCAGGTCATCGGCACTGTTGATGTCAGAAACCATGCGCTCCACTGTGAGGAAAGCTGCCAGATTGGCCGTGTAGGATGAGATCATGATGAGCGTAAAGAACCACCACATGCCGGCCACCATTCGAGTAGACAGCGCTCTCGGGCAATCTCACATCCTGCCAGAGAAACAAGCGTGGTGAAATAAAATTATAATACTTTTGTTTTTTGTATGTTCCTATAATTTAACCCTTTTGCTGCTGCGCCCTCCGCCAGTCAACGTAACCACTGTGCTAAGCCAGGCGAGAGCTAATCTTTCCTCCTGTGCTGAATACCTTTTTTTTCCTCTAAAAGCAGAAGATGCGCTTGCGGCGCGGGGTAAAAATTGTATGCCTAAAATAAAAACTCTTTGAAGGCGCATGGTTGACCTTTGTGCTAACAAATCAGACACGATATGGCATGGCCATGAAAACTCATTAACAAAAAGAAAACACTACAAACCTACAAACTTACAAAGCAAACACAAAACACTTTAGTAAGCAAATACATGGTTTTTATGATTATTAATATTTTTGTGTGTGAAATACTTCAAAACAAGGTGCAACACACAATGCCAAATCACAGTCCTTGATATCTGGTTTCCCGTCGTTTTTTGCACATACCACACTTTCTTGTTGGAAATTTCTTTTGTGATGTTACAGGCTCTATTATTGAAGGGAAATGCATCTAAATCCACCTGAACGCACATGACAGAATGTTTAATTAATTAATACTTCGGTGATCTGTTGCCGAAAGTGCTAAGAGCTTAAATTTAGAATTTACATTTAAAATAATTTTTTTTTAAACAGCATGTAGGGGTTAAATGCAGGACTTTTCTTTTGTAAGGCAGACGTGATACCAACTTCACTAGAAATTCATATGAAAGTTAGAACTGAAAATAGGACCAGTATTGTACACTTTGATAGACAGACACATTCATGTTCAGTTGTATAGTATAATAGAAACTTTAATATTAATCATCAAGTCAGTACATGACAATATCATTTTGATTATTGGGGATTCATTTCAAATCTAGTCGATGAAGATAGCTGGTTCATATGGTCAGTCTTTAGAAGTACACGTGTCCGCCGGCGTGCCGCGAAGATAACCCAGCTCATATAACTCACACGTTTTAAAGTGATCCTTACTATTACTCCTTGAAAGAAACTCCATTAATTCTTCATTAACTTTAATTAACCAATTTTCTTGTTATTTTGTATTTAAAAAAAAAGTAGACTAACGCAAAACCAGAAATATATTTCAGGGCAAAAAATATACCGTTCTCCGACCATGCTTCTATGGTAACAAAGCAAAAGGATAATGTGGAAAGCGTCTAAATACACCAAAACGCACGTGATAAGGGTTTTATTTGTATGTAAATGGGTCAGTTTGATCAGATTAAGGTAATGTGTTTTGCCATTTCACCCCCGAGAATTACGGTCCTTAGCAATTTGTAAGAAAAGTCGAGGACGAGCTATCTTGTCCTTAGCAGTGAGGGCATAGAAAACAGAAGCCGAGTTATCTCATCCTTAGCAGTCTACCGGGCAGACGAGGAATCTCGTCCATAGCAGCAAAAGGGTTAACATAAACAATAAATATGAAAGCAAAAATCTATATTCCTCCGTTTATATTTTAGAAGGGATCTTTGTGTCCAAGTTGACCAATGGGCTGTGAGATAAAGAAGGTGACCATGATTTTGTCTACTGTGTAATCCATCAAATCCTGACTTGTCTATGAAAACGTGAGTGAAGCACAATACGAGCTGGTATCAAATGTGTGCTTTTTTTGCTTTTTTTTTTTTTTTTTTTAATATAAACAATTAAATTAAATATCTCCACTCATTATTTAGATACTCAAGGTAGGTTAGTTTCCCTTGATGTTGAGAATTAATCAACAATTAGAATCTCAAAAAGTTGAAAGGTTGATAGAAAACTGATGCTAAGCTGTTCAACTATGGGAATCTAAGCATCGACTGACCTTGCTGCATGATGGAGCCAATAGTAAACCAGAGACTGTTCATCACCGTGAACTGGTTCTCAACCTCGTCTGTGTCTGGGTTGCAAGGATGTGGGTTGCACCATTCATACGGACTGAATCGGGCGATGACAAACAGCATGAAACTGACACACAAGTAGGCAGCAATCATGTACACCCACACCTGTGTACATACAAACAAAGCATCATGGCAGGAAACAACGTTAGCTTGAATCTGTTAATTATAGTGAAGTCTGGTCATGGTTATGGTTCAATCTGTTAATTATAATCAAGTCTTGTGATAGTCATGGCTCAATCTGTTAATTATAATCAAGGCTGGTGATAGTCATGGCTCAATCTGTTAATTATAATCAAGTCTGGTGATAGTCATGGTTCAATCTGTTAATTATAATCATGTCTGGTGATAGTCATGGCTCAATCTGTTAATTATAATCAAGTCTGGTGATCGTCATGGCTCAATCTGTTAATTATAATCAAGTCTGGTGATAGTCATGGCTCAATCTGTTAATTATAATCAAGTCTGGTGATATCAATCTTATAATTATAATCAAGTCATGGCTTCAATCTGTTAATTTATAATCATGGCTGGTCTGTTAATTATAATCATGTCTGTTGATGGTCATAGTTCAATCTGTTAATTATAATCAAGTCTGGTGATAGTCATAGCTCAATCTGTTAATTATAACCAAGTCTGGTGATGGTCATGGCTCAATCTGTTAATTATAATCAAGTCTGGTGATGGTCATATTTCAATCTTATAATTATAATCAAGTCTGGTGATGTCATGGCTCAATCTGTTAATTATAATCAAGTCTGGTGATAGTCATGGCTCAATCTGTTAATTATAATCATGGCTGGTGATAGTCATGGCTCAGTCTGTTAATTATAATCATGGCTGGTGATGGTCATGGCTCAATCTGTCAATTTTAATCAAGTCTGGAGATGGTCATGTTGAATCAATCAGTAGTACTCTACAGAATATCACTCTCTCGATGGCACGCGCCTGAAAGTTTCAATTTCTTCAGCCCATTTTTCACAAACCGGAAAGTCTTTATTTCTTTAGCCCATTTCTCAAAATTTTTTGACAATACACCACAGACATTGAATAAACATCACTTTTACACATCAAGAAAAGGCTTTTGACAGAGTGAACAGAGTTTTACTTTCTATGGGATGTCCTTGAAAACTGTTGTATAAATGGAACAGTGCTCGACTGTGTAAAAGCTATTTATAGAGAAAGTGAAAGTGCTGTCAGAACAAGAGCTGGCCTCACAGACTGGTTCCCAGAAACATTAGGAGTAAGGCAAGGGTCTGTTCTTTCATCTTTACTTTTTAGCAATGTCTTAGTTTCATGACCTACAAAAATACTACATAATCAATCAAAGGGAAGCCAGATTTATTTTTAATTCTCTGATCTAATGCAATGAAATAATCATATGAATACAGCACACACACAAAAAGCCAAAATCTGATGACAAATAATACTCTACAAAACAAGTGTTCTCCAGACTTGAAAACAAAATACTCACATCAGCTGATAAAGGTGACAGAAATGAGAACAAGTTCAGGGACTTTGGTGTCGGCTTCTTGATAAGGATGGTTATTCCAGTTGTTAGAAAAGGTTTGGTGAAGTCAACAACTTGTTCTCTCTTGAGGTTAATGGTCAGGTCACCAATGCCGATTTGAGCTTTCTAGAAGCAAAACAGGTCATGGGTTACTTGTTGCCAGACTGGTATTTATGATCTAACTCTGTTAACCTTAGCTAGGAAAGACACTGACTTTGACACTTGTTGACAAAAGCTGATTACAGTACAACTAGAAAATTCTTGCACTCTTGCAGGACACAACAGATACAGGGACACCAAAAACATGAAGAAGACAACAGACAGAGGGACACTAAAAAAACATGATGAAGAGAACAGACAGAGGGACACTAAAAAAACATGAAAAAGAGAACAGATGGCCACCAAAACACATGAAGAAGAGAGCAGACAGACAGATGAGGAAAAGAAAAAAGAAGCAACTAAATAAATTAAATAATACTGAAAGGGTAAGAAGTGAACTGCAGCAGACGACATCAGTCAGGCTGGCAGGGTGGCAGGGTGTCAGCTGATTGATGTTTCACTGAGATGTTAAAAAAATAAAACAACTGGAAAAAAAGTAAGTAAATGACACATGTGAGAAAGTGCTTGATGTGTATTCAACAAGGCTGTGATGGAGCTAGCAGGCATCCATAAACTGTAGTATTTGTTGAAGGAGCTGGAGCACTTACAGGAATATCAGAAGTGTCAAATGTGTGACTTTTTTCTGGTGGTATGCAATGGTACGCAGTACCAGCATTTTTCTTGAGCATTGTTGTTTTCCAGCTCTGCTGTAGTAGATACTTTGTGGCCATTAACCACTTATTTTTTGTTAGACACTTTCTGATGTGCCTGTTTTCAAGTCAGCCTCTAGAATAATGACCAGGGAAGTAAAGGCAGCTAACATGATGCTGACTACATCATCATCATGTGCCAGTTAGTTTATCAAGATGGGGGTATGATCTGAGAAATGGATCCTTGAATCAAGACAGAAGGTGAATCCTTGACTCAAGACATAAGATAAATCCTTGACCTAAGACAGAAGGTGAACATCTGACCCAAGACAGAAGGTTGTAAACAGACATAACAGCCACTACCACATTTTTCCACGTTCTTAACTTCCTTTTGAATTTCAGTTACACCTGATTCTATTTGGACCCGGCTAATGCCTGGAAAAACTGGAAAATAAAAATATGAGCTGCAACTTTAAAGCACTTCTGTCGGTTGGGGTAGGATTGTAACTCAGATCATCTCTGGGGCAAACTATATGCAGTCTTCTGTAAATACATTATGGACAATATGTGTGTTCTAACTGTGTTGAGTTGGGTTGTGTTTAGGATAGATATCATTCTCATAAAGCTGCCAAAGAAATGTTGCCATGAAAGTGATGAGCAGGCGTATGACTTCAGCCAACATTATTCCTGGCTTGTCCTGTATGGATCTCATTATTGTTTTTGTGTACACATTGAACAGTTCCAGTTAAGTTACAGTGCCCTAATAGCTTGTATGATGTGGGTAGAGAAATTCATATTTGGTTACTGATTCTTTTAGCAGCTTCTTATACAATAAACTGTGTTACTATATCACTAGACTGTGGCACTAAAGGACCAGACTGTGACACTAGGGCCAGACTGTTGACACTAGGGCCAGACTGTTGACACTAGGGCCAGACTGTTGACACTAGGGCCAGACTGTGACACTAGGGCCAGACTGTTGACACTAGGGCCAGACTGTTGACACTAGGGCCAGACTGTGACACTAGGGCCAGACTGTTGACACTAGGGCCAGACTGTTGACACTAGGGCCAGACTGTGACACTAGGGCCAGACTGTGACACTAGGGCCAGACTGTTGACACTAGGGCCAGACTGTTAACACTAGGGCCAGACTGTTGACACTAGGGCCAGACTGTGACACTATGGGACCAGACTATGACACTATGGGGCCAGACTGTAACACTACGGGCCAGACTGTGACACTAAGGGCCAGACTGTGACACTACGGGCCAGACTGTGACACTACGGGCCAGACTGTGACACTACGGGCCAGACTGTGACACTACGGGCCAGACTGTGACACTAAGGGCCAGACTGTGACACTAAGGGCCAGACTGTGACACTAAGGGCCAGACTGTGACACTAAGGGCCAGACTGTGACACTAAGGGCCAGACTGTGACACTAAGGGCCAGACTGTGACACTACAGGACCAGACTGTGACACTACGGGCCAGACTGACACTACGGGCCAGACTTGTGACACTACGGGCCAGACTGTGACACTACAGGGCCTGAATGTGCTCTATGTCATGTCCGTTTCTCCATGGCAAGGAATGGAGACACTGTCATTAGATCAGTAGATTGTGCAACTACATCTTGAAAGTGTGTCATGACATTCTATTTCTCTATGACACATGCTAGTGTTATCTGCCCTGAGGAAGAGAAGTGCAATAAGCCAGATGACAAACCCGATTAATGAGAGCGCCCATGACTCCATTCCATGAGCCATTGGGTTGAGGTTTGCCGACCGTATCCTGTAGTTGGATCTCCCAGGTAAAGTTGCGAGCCTTGGCTATGTGATCCAGCAGTTCCACGCAGAATCCAGAGAAGCCAGAAGGTGCTGAAGCATTTCTGATCACATAGGGGTCAGTCTGTGCATACATCAAATAAAAATTGGGGTCAGTCTATGCATACATCAAATAAAACATAGGGGTCAGTCTATGCATACATCGAATAAAACATAGGGGTCAGTCTGTGCATACATCAAATAAAACATAGGGGTCAGTCTGTGCATATATCAAAAAAAATATAGGGGTCAGTCTGTGGATACATCAAATAAAATATAGGGTGAGTCTGTGCATACATCAAATAAAACATAGGGGTCAGTCTGTGCATACATCAAATAAAATCATAGGGGTCAGTCTGTGCATGTCAAATAAAATATAGGGGTCAGTCTGTGCATACATCAAATAAAACATAGGGGTCAGTCTGTGCATACATCAAATAAAACATAGGGGTCAGTCTGTGCATACATCAAATAAAACATAGGGGTCAGTCTATGCATACATCAAATAAAACATAGGGGTCAGTCTGTGCATACATCAAATAAAATATAGGGGTCAGTCTGTGCATACATCAAATAAAACATAGGGGTCAGTCTGTGCATACATCAAATAAAATATAGGGGTCAGTCTGTGCATACATCAAATAAAATATATGGGTCAGTCTGTGCATACATCAAATAAAACATAGGGGTCAGTCTATGCATACATCAAATAAAACAATTGTCATAAAGTTTTAGTGAAATGTGAAATAATATTATACACATAGGGGTCAGTCTATGCATACATCAAATAAAACATAGGGGTCAGTCTGTGCATACATCAAATAAAATATAGGGGTCAGTCTGTGCATACATCAAATAAAACATAGGGGTCAGTCTGTGCATACATCAAATAAAACATAGGGGTCAGTCTGTGCATACATCAAATAAAACATAGGGGTCAGTCTGTGCATACATCAAATAAAACATTTGTCATATAGTTTTAGTGAAATGTGAATTAATATTTTATACACAATACAATATGCAACATAAATTATATTTTTTTTACTGAGTATCATACATCACATAATAATCGCTCATCTTGTTTCTTACATAACGGATATTTATCACCTTACATGCAGTGTAATAAATCACACATTATTTATCATATATCTTCTCTCACATATCATGTACCATGCCTCATACTCCTTGTATCATACAACATTCATCTAGAATCACACATCATACATCTTATATCATACAATGTTCATCTAGAATCACACATCATACATCTTGTATCATACAATGTTCATCTAGAATCACACATCATACATCTTGTATCATACAATGTTCATCTAGAATCACACATCATACATCTTGTATCATACACCATATACCTTATATCATACATGTGATATCTCGTATAACACATCTTTATGTTACATCACTTATCACAATGCAAATGTAATATATTGTTATTTGATACACAGATATGCTACAATTGCTGGTGATGCTGATAATGATACACACAAACAAATCACACAGACAGACTGACAGGCAGACATATCACCACCAACAGTTGCTGGTGATGCTGACAATGATACACACAAACAAAGCACACAGACAGACTGACAGGCAGACATATCACCACCAACAGTTGCTGGTGATGCTGACAATGATACACACAAACAAAGCACACAGACAGACTGACAGGCAGACATATCACCACCAACGGTTGCTATAAACCTGAAGAAGAAGGTTTTGGGCATCCTAGAGTGGCATAAAGATGCAATAAAGCTAATCAAATCTGAGGACATATGGCAACAATACTGAAATGCACACATATCAGTATGAACACTAAAACAGCACAGTTCAATACAATATTCTTACCAACTATGAAAGACCAACTTAGGAACAATGATGTCAGGAGGTGAGTCGGTACAAAACCAATACTGATCTTGATCATTAGACTACAGATCTTATAGTTTGCCAACACAACAAAATTGGCAACAAATAGGGTACAGAGAGCACTGTTATACAGATAAGACTACAGATCTAATAGTTTTCCAACACAACAACATTGGCAACAGACAGGGCACAGAGAGCACTGTTATACAGATAAGACTACAGATCTTATAGTTTGCCAACATAACAACATTGGCAACAGACAGGGCACAGAGAGCACTGTTATACAGATACAGCCGTAACAGAGCCAGAGGTCGACCTCACAGAATATGGACCATAAAAGTATGGAAGACACTGAAAAGTACTATCATGATGTGCACAGACAGGCATGTACCAGAAATCTCTTCCTGCTCCAAAGCTGTTAGGCATTCCAGCAGTAGAGAAAAGAATAAGACACTTCTAAAAAAAAAAGAAAAAAAAAGAAACAACATCTTTTTACAACAACAAAAAAGTACATAGACAGGACAGGTAAGTCTGTCTCACCAGGTATGTAGTAATAATGTACTTTTGACCAGAAACGTTTGTGTGGATGACTGGAGCCTCTAGGGTAAAGTTAAGACCTGTCTTTCTGTCCCATGTGCCAGCCTGCAGGAGGAGGACAACAGCCAGGTCAAACATAGACACACAATAATCAGGTCAAACATAGACACAAAATAATCAGGTCAAACATGGACACACAATCATCAGGTCAAACATGGACACACAATCATCAGGTCAAACATGGACAAAGGATCATCAGGTCAAACATGGACAAAGGATCATCAGGTCAAACATGGACACACAATCATCAGGTCAAACATGGACACACAATCATCAGGTCAAACATGGACAAAGGATCATCAGGTCAAACATGGACACACAATCATCAGGTCAAACATGGGCAAAGGATCATCAGATCAAACAATTACACACCATCATCAGGTCAAACATGGACACACGATCATCAGGTCAAACATGGACCCACAATCATCAGGTCAAACATGGACACACAATCATCAGGTCAAACATGGACCCACAATCATCAGGTCAAACATGGACACACAATCATCAGGTCAAACATGAACACACAATCATCAGGTCAAACATAGACACACAATCATCAGGTCAAACATGGACACACAATCATCAGGTCAAACATGGACCCACGATCATCAGGTCAAACATGGACACACAATTATCAGGTCAGACATGGACACACAATCATCAGGTCAAACATGGGCAAAGGATCATCAGGTCAAACAATTACACACCATCATCAGGTCAAACATGGATACACGATCATCAGGTCAAACAAGGACCCACAATCATCAGGTCAAACATGGACACACAATCATCAGGTCAAACATGGATCCACAATCACCAGGTCAAACATGGACACACAATCATCAGGTCAAACATGGACCCACGATCATCAGGTCAAACATGGACACATGATCATCAGGTGAAACATGGACACACAATCATCAGGTCAAACATGGACAAAGGATCATCAGGTCAAACATGGACACACAATCATCAGGTCAAACATGGACAAAGGATCATCAGGTCAAACATGGACAAAGGATCATCAGGTCAAACATGGACACACAATCATCAGGTCAAACATGGGCAAAGGATCATCAGATCAAACAATTACACACCATCATCAGGTCAATCATGGACACACGATCATCAGGTCAAACATGGACCCACAATCACCAGGCCAAACATGGACACACAATCATCAGGTCAAACATGGACCCACAATCATCAGGTCAAGCATGGACACACAATCATCAGGTCAAATATGGACCCACGATCATCAGGTCAAACATGGACACATGATCATCAGGTCAAACATGGACCCACGATCATCAGGTCAAACATGGACCCACGATCATCAGGTCAAACATGGACACATGATCATCAATCACAGAATTACTTTGCTTTATGCCATTTAAGAAATTATTTTCCATTTTATAGCTAACACCTTGAGGCAGACGTTATATCCCATGATACTGGTATTTAAAAATTTAATTGCCTTGCTTTACTACTATATTTAGATTTTGTGGTAATAATAAGATAATAAGCATCTAGATATTTTTTCCTCACAAAATGGCAATAATAACTGTCTTTGTCTTTCTAAAAAATGTGCTGTCAGTGTCAGACTCCAAGTCCAGATCCTAGTAGTGGACAGTGGTCGCATGAAAGAGAGGAAATGCTTGAGAAAGTCCAGATTCTAGTAGAGAACAGTGGTGGCATGAAAGAGAGGAAATGCTTGAGAAAGTCCAGATCCTAGCAGCGTACAGTGGACACATGAAAGAGAGGAAATGCTTGAGAAAGTCCAGATCCTAGTAGAGTACAGTGGACACATGAAAGAGAGGAAATGCTTGAGAAAGTCCAGATCCTAGCAGAGTACAGTGGACACATGAAAGAGAGGAAATGCTTGAGAAAGTCCAGATCCTAGCAGAGTACAGTGGACACATGAAAGAGAGGAAATGCTTGAGAAAGTCCAGATCCTAGCAGAGTACAGTGGACACATGAAAGAGAGGAAATGCTTGAGAAAGTCCAGATCCTAGTAGTGGACAGTGGTCACATGAAAGAGAGGAAATGCTCGAGAAAGGCTCATTGAGTTTCCACATACACAAAAAGTCTATCCCATCTCCACGATGGAGTCAAGTTAAAATAAATGACCCTTTATCCCTCCTTCACTTGCATGGGGCACATAGGGCTAGACCTATATTTTACAGACCAATCACTATTTGCAGAGTGATATGGTCAGCATCATACCATCCACCTTTACTTCCCAGAACCTTACCTCATACCAATTTAAGGCTGGGTCGACCTAGGAGCCAAGGTCATTTAACAAAACAAAAAAAAACGTTTGGCTCCATGAGGGCCTGAACCCAAGACCTTCTGATATGCAGGCAAGTGCCCAGCCACAACAGCATCTTAGCACCCTCGGTGATGAAAGTTGGCCCTGATCTGGTGCTAATCTTTTCCACAGTGCAACTCTCATAGAACATGTTGGAGATTAATTGCAGACATCCTTCATTGGGGAGATGACACCTGATTGATTGAGTCTTGGTCCACTGTCATAAATCTAGGAGCACCTGATTGATTGAGTCTTGGTTCACTGTCAGAAATCTAGGAGCATCTGACTGATTGAGTCTCAGTCCACTGTCAGAAATCTAGGAGCACCTGAGTCCCAGTCCACTGTAAGAAATCTAGGAGCACCTGATTGATTGTTGAGACTCAGCCAGAGCCTATGCTGTAACAGTGACCAATGATTTCAGCCACAGCTTAGGTGGTAAGTGTCAAATATTGAATCTAGAAATATCCAGAAGAGCAAAGATCCCTATCCAGAAGAGCAAAGATCCCTATTAAGAAGAGCAAAGATCCCATCTGATAACATTCTTCTACCACTAGAGAGGTTTTATTTATTTCACAATTAATATTTAAAATTAAGCATATACTTTTATTAGATTCATGTACACAAACACGGACACACATGTAAACACATAAAGTCACATATATCCGGCTGACCTTCTTAAGTCCATTCTGCGTGAGGTAGAGAAGATCCAGATTGAAGTCATATCTCTCCCCGTTCTCATACTTGACTGTCCCAGAGAGGCCCTCAAACTTGATCTGAAACAGCCAGCAGTCTCTAAGTGGACACAGCTCATGTTTGTTCGGACAAGCCCATGTCCAGAAACTACCCACACAGGTGTCACAGACTGACCAACATACCCATCAAATAGGTGAACTTTCCAGTCAGAGCACTTGTGTGTATTGTACAATGAAACATCAAATAGGTGAACTTTCCAGTCAGAGCACTTGTGTGTATTGTACAATGAAACATCAAATAGGTGAACTTTCCAGTCAGAGCACTTGTGTGTATTGTACAATGAAACATCGAGAGGTGAACTTTCCAGTCAGAGCACTTGTGTGTATTGTACAATGAAACATCAAATAGGTGAACTTTCCAGTCAGAGCACTTGTGTGTATTGTACAATGAAACATCAAATAGGTGAACTTTCCAGTCAGAGCACTTGTGTGTATTGTATAATGAAACATCAAATAGGTGAACTTTCCAGTCAGAGCACTTGTGTGTATTGTACAATGAAACATCAAATAGGTGAACTTTCCAGTCAGAGCACTTGTGTGTATTGTACAATGAAACATCAAATAGGTGAACTTTCCAGTCAGAGCACTTGTGTGTATTGTACAATGAACCATCAAATAGGTGAACTTTCCAGTCAGAGCACTTGTGTGTATTGTACAATGAACCATCAAATAGGTGAACTTTCCAGTCAGAGCACTTGTGTGTATTGTACACATGAACCATCAAACAGGTGAACTTTCCAGTCAGAGCACTTGTGTGTATTGTACAATGAACCATCAAACAGGTGAACTTTCCAGTCAGAGCACTTGTGTGTATTGTACAATGAACCATCAAATAGGTGAACTTTCCAGTCAGAGCACTTGTGTGTATTGTACAATGAACCATCAAATAGGGTGAAACTTTCCAGTCAGAGCACTTGTGTGTATTGTACAATGAACCATCAAATAGGTGAACTTTTACAGTCAGAGCACTTGTGTGTATTGTACAATGAACCATCAAATAAGGAACTTTCCAGTCAGAGCACTTGTGTGTATTGTACAATGAACCATCAAATAGGTGAACTTTCCAGTCAGAGCACTTGTGTGTATTGTACAATGAACCATCAAATAGGTGAACTTTCCAGTCAGAGCACTTGTGTGTATTGTACAATGAACCATCAATATAGTGTGAACTTTTACCAGTCAGAGCACTTTGTGTATGCGTATGTACAATGAACCATCAAATAGGTGAACTTTCCAGTCAGAGCACTTGTGTGTATTGTACAATGAACCATCAAAATAGGGTGAAACTTTCCAGTCAGAGCACTTGTGTGTATTGTACAATGAACCATCAAATAGGTGAACTTTCCAGTCAGAGCACTTGTGTGTATTGTACAATGAACCATCAAATAGGTGAACTTTCCAGTCAGAGCACTTGTGTGTATTGTACAATGAACCATCAAATAGGTGAACTTTCCAGTCAGAGCACTTGTGTGTATTGTACAATGAACCATCAAATAGGTGAACTTTCCAGTCAGAGCACTTGTGTGTATTGTACAATGAACCATCAAATAGGTGAACTTTCCAGTCAGAGCACTTTGTGTGTATTGTACAATGAACCATCAAATAGGTGAACTTTCCAGTCAGAGCACTTGTGTGTATTGTACAATGAACCATCAAATAGGTGAACTTTCCAGTCAGAGCACTTGTGTGTATTGTACAATGAACCATCAAAATAGGTGAACTTTCCAGTCAGAGCACTTGTGTGTATTGTACAATGAACCATCAAATAGGTGAACTTTCCAGTCAGAGCACTTGTGTGTATTGTACAATGAACCATCAAATAGGTGAACTTTCCAGTCAGAGCACTTGTGTGTATTGTACAATGAAACATCAAATAGGTGAACTTTCCAGTCAGAGCACTTGTGTGTATTGTACAATGAAAACATCAAATAGGTGAACTTTCCAGTCAGAGCACTTGTGTGTATTGTACAATGAAACATCAAATAGGTGAACTTTCCAGTCAGAGCACTTGTGTGTATTGTACAATGAAACATCAAATAGGTGAACTTTCCAGTCAGAGCACTTGTGTGTATTGTACAATGAAACATCAAATAGGTGAACTTTCCAGTCAGAGCACTTGTGTGTATTGTACAATGAAACATCAAATAGGTGAACTTTCCAGTCAGAGCACTTGTGTGTATTGTACAATGAAACATCAAATAGGTGAACTTTCCAGTCAGAGCACTTGTGTGTATTGTACAATGAAACATCAAATAGGTGAACTTTCCAGTCAGAGCACTTGTGTGTATTGTACAATGAAACATCAAATAGGTGAACTTTCCAGTCAGAGCACTTGTGTGTATTGTACAATGAAACATCAAATAGGTGAACTTTCCAGTCAGAGCACTTGTGTGTATTGTACAATGAAACATCAAATAGGTGAAACTTTCCAGTCAGAGCACTTGTGTGTATTGTACAATGAAACATCAAATAGGTGAACTTTCCAGTCAGAGCACTTGTGTGTATTGTACAATGAAACATCAAATAGGTGAACTTTCCAGTCAGAGCACTTGTGTGTATTGTACAATGAAACATCAAATAGGTGAAACTTTCCAGTCAGAGCACTTGTGTGTATTGTACAATGAAACATCAAATAGGTGAACTTTCCAGTCAGAGCACTTGTGTGTATTGTACAATGAAACATCAAATAGGTGAACTTTCCAGTCAGAGCACTTGTGTGTATTGTACAATGAAACATCAAATAGGTGAACTTTCCAGTCAGAGCACTTGTGTGTATTGTACAATGACACATCAAATAGGTGAACTTTCCAGTCAGAGCACTTGTGTGTATTGTACAATGACACATCAAATAGGTGAACTTTCCAGTCAGAGCACTTGTGTGTATTGTACAATGAAACATCAAATAGGTGAACTTTCCAGTCAGAGCACTTGTGTGTATTGTACAATGAAACATCAAATAGGTGAACTTTCCAGTCAGAGCACTTGTGTGTATTGTACAATGAAACATCAAATAGGTGAACTTTCCAGTCAGAGCACTTGTGTGTATTGTACAATGAAACATCAAATAGGTGAACTTTCCAGTCAGAGCACTTGTGTGTATTGTACAATGAAACATCAAATAGGTGAACTTTCCAGTCAGAGCACTTGTGTGTATTGTACAATGAAACATCAAATAGGTGAACTTTCCAGTCAGAGCACTTGTGTGTATTTGTACAATGAAACATCAAATAGGTGAACTTTCCAGTCAGAGCACTTGTGTGTATTGTACAATGAAACATCAAATAGGTGAACTTTCCAGTCAGAGCACTTGTGTGTATTGTACAATGAAACATCAAATAGGTGAACTTTCCAGTCAGAGCACTTGTGTATTGTACAATGAAACATCAAATAGGTGAACTTTCCAGTCAGAGCACTTGTGTATTGTACAATGAAACATCAAATAGGTGAACTTTCCAGTCAGAGCACTTGTGTGTATTGCACAATGAAACATCAAATAGGTGAACTTTCCAGTCAGAGCACTTGTGTGTATTGCACAATGAAACATCAAATAGGTGAACTTTCCAGTCAGAGCACTTGTGTGTATTGCACAATGAAACATCAAATAGCCATCTAGTCACAACCTTCATTTGTTGTTCATGATTTCAATAATGTGGAGCTGGACAGATCTATTCTTTGTTCGATCTGATATTTTTTCATTATATTTTGATACCTTTTTTGCCACTCACTTATTTCACACCACTTGTGTGTCTCAAGTCCCCCCCCCCCCCCCCCCCCTAATTGCTACTGTCCATCTAACTCTTCTGTACTGTATTCATTTCATATACAGTTTATAGCATTAATTTATTTAGATAGTATTTTTATCATGTATCACATGTGTCTCAGAGCTTCTACGGGCCAGACATGGATATTTTCTCAAAGAGACCTCAGTTAAGTGATTTTGTATATATTTGTTTGTAATTGTTACTCAAGGCATATGCTGATGAGGGCTTTATGGCAGCAATCTTCACCAGTCATTTGTGTTTTTTTTTTTTTATCTTGTTTGGTTTGATATCTCTGCATAAGGAATGGACAACTCAGCACTGGAAGAGAAACAACTACTTGCACATCAAGCACACTAAACAGACTCAACATTTGGACAGAGGGAGCACCAAACAGAAATATACATATGGAAAATTAATACATTGTCTATAGATACAGAAACCATTTACACATAGTCTATAGATACAGAAACCATTTACACATAGTCTACAAATAGTCTATAGAAGAGAAATTTACACATAGTCTATAGAAACCATTTACACATAGTCTATAGATAAGAAACCATTTACATAGATAGATAGATAAAAAACCATTTACACATAGTCTATAGATAGAGAAACCATTTACACATAGTCTACAGATAGAGAAACCATTTACCATTTGCTACATAGTCTACACATAGATATGATACAGAAACCATTTACACATAGTCTATAGATAGAGAAACCATTTACACATAGTCTATAGATAGAGAAACCATTACAGAGAACAGAAACCATTTACACATAGTTACATAAGAGTCTATAGATAGAGAGAGAAACCATTTACACATAGTCTATCAGATAGAGAAACCATTTACACATAGTCTATAGATAGAGAAAACCATTTACACATAGTCTATAGATAGAGAAACTATTTACACATAGTCTATAGATAGAGAAACCATTTACACATAGACTTTAGATAGAGAAACCATTTACACATAGTCTACAGATAGAGAAACCATTTACACATAGTCTAATACCATTTACACATAGTCTATAGATAGAGAAACCATTTACACATAGTCTACAGATAGAGAAACCATTTACACATAGTCTACAGATAAAGAAACCATTTACACATATAGTAGATAAAACTAGTCTTATAGATAGAGAAACCCATTACACACATAGTCTATAGATAGAGAAACTATTTACAAATAGTCTATAGATAGAGAAACTATTTACACATAGACTTTGGATGGAGAAACCATTTACACA